TTCGCACCGTCAGCATCCTCATCAGCAACCACCATCAGCTGCTTGTCTTCGGAATTCGAGCTCCGCTCCACCTGCTCGGACATCACAGCGATCTTCTCGGGGTTCTGCTCGGACATGACAGGGGCCACGGCGCCAGGCTGCTCAATGATCTTCTCGATGGCCTTCTGCTCGGACCCAGCCGCCCCACCAGGCTGCTGCTCAGTGATCTTCTCGATGGCCTTCTGCTCGGACCCAGCCGCCCCACCAGGCTGCTGCTCAGTGATCTTCTCGATGGCCTTCTGCTCAGACCCCACAGGAGCCCCACCAGACTGCTGCTCAGTGATCTTCTCGATGGCCTTCTGCTCGGACCCCACAGGAGCCCCACCACCAGGCTGCTGCTCAGCGATCTTCTCGATGGCCTTCTGCTCGGACCCCACAGGAGCCACACCACCAGGCTGCTGCTCAGCGATCTTCTCGATGGCCTTCTGCTCGGACCCCAGGGTAGCCACACCACCAGGCTGCTGCTCAGCGACCTTCTCGAAAGCCTTCTGCTCGGACCCCACAGGAGCCACACCACCAGGCTGCTGCTCAGCGATCTTCTCGAAAGCCTTCTGCTCGGACCCCACAGGAGCCACACCACCAGGCTGCTCAGCGATCTTCTCGAAAGCCTTCTGCTCGGACCCCAGGGTAGCCACACCACCAAGCGGCTGCTCAGCGATCTCCTTGAAAGCCTTCTGCTCAGCGATCGGCGGCTCTGTGATCATCTGCGTGGCCTCCAAACTACTACTCGGATCAGGAGCCTCCTCGTCGAGCTCCATGAGTGTGGCAAGCTCCGTCGGCTGTCCATTCAGCATATCCACATCCCCATCTGCTGGCATTGTGTCCTTCCAGGCGATTGAAAAAAATCCATTAGTATAAGAATCTATCTGGGTCTGTGTTCTTACAACCCCAACTACTAATAGTCTGGAAACCTGGTCTTGAAAAACATACAGATAGCTCCTCGGAGCTCTTCTGCTCCGGCCCTGCCTCTTGCTGGGTCTCCTCGTGCCCAAGTGAGAATCCCACATGCTTGTATGTACATATGCACATACATACACACATACATATATATGAAGATCAGATGCAGAATCTGCAATTACAGTTCTTGATAGTAATATGTGTGTGTGTACATGTGTATATGTATGTATACCTGGCACCACAGCTCTACTGTATTGTACACCAGCATATGCACACACATATACATTATATATGCATATACATGCACACACATATGTATGTGTATATATTTATATACACACGTAGTTCTGTGCCTATAATTATTATAAGCGAGAGAGATCTAGGGAGAGACAGAGAGAGAGAGAGAGAGAGTGTGTGTGTGTGTGTGTGTGTGTGTGTTTTCGTGCACAGACAGCGAACATAAAAAGTTAATAAGCTACCGTAGTTATACTATCGCCGCCACCACCACCACACACCACCAAAGCCGCAAAAATCAACTACTACTCCTGCTGCTGCTACTACTATTACCACGATTACTGCAACTACTACCATTACTATATATATATATGTATGTATATGTTGATATATATGTACATGCATATATACACATACACATAAATACATATATACATATGTACATATATACATGTATACACATATGTATATATATATATATATATATATATATATATATATGTAGATATACATACATATATATATATATACACATATATATATATATATATATCTTCATCATCCTCATCATCACCATCAAACTTACTAGCTGTGTACAAAACCTGAGGTATTAACCTACATATGAGCTCATACATGGCATCTAAAATAACATATACACGTACACATGCGTAAAACTTCCCCGAAGCTTCAACACATATTCATAATAAGCTTTGAAGGCCAGCCTCAACGGAACCAGCTGCCACACCCGGGCTGCCAAACAGCTTCACCTTCTTGTGAAAAGGGGATTTGATAGGTGTGCTCGCAGTCGACTTGATCGGCGTACTCTGGGTGGGCCTGATTTTTGCCGGCGAAAGGTGGCTCGAACCGTAGCTCTTATCCAAGAAGTCCGACACCATAGCAGCAGCAGCAGGCTTTGTCATAAACTGCGAGATCGGCATTTGCGGCTGCTTGGGAATCGATGCATCGTCCTTCGGCTCCACCTCCTTTGCCGCCTTCTTCTGGGTCTCCTTCGGCTTCGTTTCCTTTTTTACAGGTGCCGTTGCCTTCTTCGCAGCCGCCTTCACACGTGGGGCTGCCTTGGGCTCCCCTGAGCCCCCAGTATCTGCCGAGATACCTCGGCTTAGACACTAAGTTCTCGCATAAAGGATAGTCATACATATTTGTTTGACTTAACTGGTATATACACAGATACCTGTGTACACTTGTTACCGATATGTGTGAACCTCATATACATATGCTGACACATACACATACATCGTTCATATACATGTATACACATACATATATGTATTTATTCATGTGTGTGTCTTTAATAATGTGCATGCATGCGTACAATATCATGTCTCTGACGCATACGGATTGACATCGACTAGGCGCCGAGGCCTTGCATGGCCTTCTCCACTTCAGCAGCCACTTTCTTCGTGCCCTGAACCAGGGACATATACTAGACTAGAACGGCTAGAACAAGCCACACGGATAGCACAACTCAAGCCATGCATAGAGGAGCCTTCGGGGGCATAGCTGATGAGGGGCAAAAGCAAGCTAGCTCGCACTGCCCACAATTTCAAGCAAAAGAATCACTGCAACGGTCAGGTTCTGCGATGATCAATCAGTTGCAATGCATCACTGATCATGATAGTTTAGGGATTGGCTCTGGCTCATACAATGCCGTTGGGGGCTGCACCATAGTTGCAACACATCTCGGCCCTCCTATACTGCTGAGGATAGCTTATAAGGGTTATTGGGGGATATTTTGGGTTATATGTGAGCTCTGGTACACTTTGGGGGGTTATTAGGGGTTAGTGGGGGTTATTGGGCTTGTTGTGTGGTATGGATACCAGAATCCAGAGGGTTATTCAGGGATATTTGGGTTGATATGTTAGCTCTGGGAGACTTTGGGGGGTTAGTGGGGGTTAGTGGGGTTTAGTGGCGTTTTTGGTGTGTTTTTGCTACAAGAATGAAGAGGGTTATTCAGGGATATTTGGGTTGATATGTTAGCTCTGGGAGACTTTGGGGGGTTAGTGGGGGTTAGTGGGGTTTAGTGGCTTTTTTGGTGTGTTTTGGCTACAAGAATGAATAGGGTTATTCAGGGATATTTGGGTTGATATGTTAGCTCTGGGAGACTTTGGGGGGTTATTCGGGTTTAGTGGGGGTTAGTTGGATGGGCTCCTGTTCTGTGGTTTTACCAGGAATATTCGGACTAGCTGCCATGATTTCCTGGTATTGCAAGCATTGATTCGGTTTAAGGTTCGGGGCTGGTGTCAGATCACAACGATTGTTCGCTAGGCGGATCTTAACTTTCTCAAACAACCTCGCATTTGAAACAGATCTCTAGGTCTTCTGAATTGGCGGCCAGGCATGAATTTGGCCGAGCATCAGCAGCCCCCCATCTCGCAGCAACTGCAATCACGGAAACCGTACATGTATGTTATTTTATGACATTGACACCTGAGAACTACCCGGTCTCTGCCAGCTCCCTTGAGCGAGGGGTGTCGGAGTAGCACCACTCCTGAATTAAATCTAATTTGCTTGTAAAACAGCCACGGTTGTCATCATCCAGGCTGGCGATCGGCGATCGGGCGCACGGCGGGCCCTGGCTCCCATCCTTCGGGTTATAGCTTTATTATTACACGACGTAGAGCTGATATAGGGGTGGGGGGTATTGTGAAGCTGCCTGGTTGATGTTCTAACAATTAGGATAACTAGCGGGCACAGATACCTCCTGGTCAACTCAACGCCCACCCAGCTTTGTTCTTTCGGAATAATGAGGGCCAAAGAACAATACTGTTATCAAGTGCTGAACTACGGTTGCTATACTCCATCAAGCTAAGCTGTAACACTACATCAGCTTGGGGCGTCTGGTTCAGGGGGTATTATGTGAGGTCCAGCTTTGTATGGGGCCCTAGAGTATCTGCGTTTGCGATTGGGGGGGGAAAGACCTATATTCAGGGTACTGCCAGGAGACACCTAGTCGAGCTTCACGAAATGCTTGAAACTTGAAGCACCTGTCCCAGGTAATACGAATCACACATGAGGCCCTACACTGGTTCTATTGATTCCTGCATCGGTTCTTGGGACATATCGGCTATGCTCCGGCCACATAGCTTCCCTAATGCCCCCCAACCAGAACCCTAAGGCATAGGTCCTACGGATAGGGTTCATATACATATGTATATGTATATATGCAGTACATATGTAAGCCACAGATAGATTCGCAATAAAGTACTACCTCCGATCCATTGCATGTAGGTCGACTGCCATAAAACCACATAACTCTATATCTATATCTATATCTATATCTATATATATATATACATATATATATATATACTAATATACCCACATGAACAACATAAGCATTATAAACCCACTAGCTTATAAGATAGGAGAAATATATCAACTAGCACAGGCTTTTTCTTCGGTACGGTCGAACCGACATTTAGGGATCCAGGTTTCACGATCTCGGAGGTATTTATCGTGTAGACCCGAACACCAAACCCTTCTTGTCTTATAAGACACCAAATGTAATGTGGCAAATAGGTGTTTCGTTCTAGGTCAACCACTTGGATCAATAACCCTTAATGATTCTGCTTCCGAAGCTACAATTGCAGGTGTCCCCAGCTCGCGAACAAGCCCGAGAGGTGGTGTCAAGCTAGCCAAACCCCGCCGGCAAATGTTATCCGCCTTCTGTTATCTAGAACTAGAACAGCAACACCGCCGCAGCAATAGCCTCCTGAATCGCCCTAGACTCCACATCATCACAAAGGTAGTATATACAACAGACCCTACACCCCGTGACCCCATCGAACGAATGGCCTCTGAGTCATCTCAGGACGCCCCAGCCGCGGCGGCGGGCGCTTCGGCGGCAGCGGCGGGCAATGCTTCCTTGGAACGAATCATACAAGTAAGTCATACTATCCAGGCTGTATAGGTGTTGTATCTATAGTTTTTGTTTTAGTGATTTAGGATTAGGGAGCTAGGGGGTTGCCCTCATAATTAGGGTAACTCTACGATTTGTACGAATCACCATGTAAGCTCGAAAAGGTGATGCAGTTACATTGCTTGGCAGCGGTGCAAGGTCTAGCACGACCTAGAGTTTTGTGCTACGGTAGAGACAATGCTAACTATCTTTCTAGTCATCGGTATACAACCGACTCCTATCATACTATCTAGCTATCTAATATCGATCTATATCTCTATCTGTATATATATATATACAATACCTTTGCTGATCTTACCCAAGAGCTTGGGATCTCTTTCTAGATCACCTTGCTAGCGATATATACATCTATATATACATGTACATAGATAATGTATATAAATTTAAAGTCCATATATATATATATATATAGAGAGAGAACTAATAACTAGGTATACGTATATACACTCGTACATGCGATATGATGGTAAAGGTTCGGCTCGTAGATAGAAAGTGCGTACATATTTATATACACGGTATATTAAATCTCAATACAACATATATATATATATATACACATATGCAATATGATCAGTACATCATTCGAAATACATAAATACGTGTACACATATCCCTAAGGCTCCATGTAGCCATATAGTACACACGTTGCCCCCAAAGTACCTATATAGGAACCCCTTTAAGGCCTAAGTATATACTATATGGCTACATGGAGCCTTAGTATATGTACGAATACAAATTTCTATACGTATCATGAAGACTGGGTTTGTGAGGCGAACCTGCAACTAAGGTTGAGGGATGGAGGGTGTTTGTATGTTTCGGGTCATGCCCAATTTATTAGACCAGTTAGAAGCAAGTGGGCACAGAGCCGTGATCAGGGGTTTGATCGACTAGCTGACTGAAGATATAGTGCTATCCTTTAAAGCCCGCACAAGCAGCAGAAACACCCCCCGTCTCGAAGCCCTACCCCTAAGCACTAAACCTTAGTAGGCTGATGGCTGGATGAGGTAGCTGGTTGCAAGGTTGCGAAGCCTTATTAAGCGAACAGCATACATGAAAGAGAGGTAGATGCACACGCTTGGGTCTCGAATCCACAGCACACACATAATTTCGAGACGGGTTTAGGGTTCAGGGGTGTAGCAGGGTACGAGCAACCTCAGCCAGTCATAAGTCTACTACACGTATAAGTACATAATGCCTACACGATCATCCGACACTGAATTCAAGAAGGAAATCCCAATCTTATAAGCACGCATGACCACTGATGGTAATGTAGCGATTGGTTCAAAGTCCGGAACAGTTGCAATTTATGTTTGTCGATGTTGGGATTCAAAGGGGGCTTTGCATGTTTGCATGCATAAAGTCAAAACACACCTGAACAAGACATGCCCAGAACCCTTGCCCCTGACCCCTAAACTGCCCACTCAAATACCCACTACCCCTTCTAAGCCCAACCCCTAAGCACCTAAGACCCTCTAAACTGCTCTAAGCCCTAAGCGATTTCCTGCCGGGACCGGGGTGCTGGCCAAGCGATATAAGCCGAATAAGCCCTAATCCCGATACTGTCTGAGCTACACTTATGTCATGTGTAGTGTTTATACATCTGAGGACAGCTCTGGCTTCGACGATGGCGACGGCGGCACGGCTGCCGCAGACGGAGCCAGGTCTGATGGCGGGATTTAAGGTTTGAGGGTTTAGGGGGAGCAGGGCTTTAATAGGGGCTTTGGATTTAGGCTCGCGGGTGCGGAGTGGAAATCGAGATGATTCTGCTGTATATACAGCCTTGTATGGGAGATTACGGGAGGGTGTTTTTGCACTGGCTTGCAACCCCTGTCCTCTATCGACATAGATCAAGTCTAGCGACAGGGAATTTCGAACCGCTCTCAAGTTCTTGGGTGTGTAAAATCAACTATTATACTGGGGTGTGCCAGATCGAAACAATGAACAAGCTGCATCGAAGAACGATTATGTTGATCAAACACACATACAATATGGGGTGTGGCTACACTGGTTGAGGTGGGGATTGAATCCTGCGATTGTGCGTGGTGGTGTGTGTGATGTTCGTCTAGTCATCTAGGCTAGCTGATGCTGTAGCTTATATATAAAAAGTAGGATGTCAAGAATGAGCAATGATCCGCCCATATAGGTCAAATAGAGGGCCTTCATCATCATGGGGT